TAGCAGTGAAGTAGTGAAGCAGTGAAACAGTGAGGCAGTGTGGCAGTGAGGCAGTGAAGCAGTGAGGCAGTGTGGCAGTGAGGCAGTGAAGCAGTGAAGCAGTGAAGCAGTGAGGCAGTGAAGCAGTGAGGCAGTGCAGCAGTGAAGCAGTGAGGCAGTGTGGCAGTGAAGCAGTGAAGCAGTGAGGCAGTGCAGCAGTGAAGCAGTGAAGCAGTGAGGCAGTGTAGCAGTGAAGCAGTGAAGCAGTGAAACAGTGAAGCAGTGTAGCAGTGTAGCAGTGAAACAGTGAAACAGTGAAGCAGTGAAACAGTGAAGCAGCGGCTGAGGAGTCCGAGACACTGACACGTTTGTCACGTGACCGGTTGTTTTGATACACGCTCCGATGCAGTGTTTTGAAGAAATTTACTTTATATAACAGCAGTATGTGTTCACGGAGGTGACTTTATATAACAGCAGTATGTGTTCACGGAGGTGACTTTATATAACAGCAGTATGTGTTCATGGAGGTGACTTTATATAACAGCAGTGTGTGTTCACGGAGGTGACTTTATATAACAGCAGTGTGTGTTCACGGAGGTGACTTTATATAACAGCAGTGTGTGTTCACGGAGGTGACTTTATATAACAGCAGTGTGTGTTCACGGAGGTGACTTTATATAACAGCAGTATGTGTTCACGGTGACTTTATATAACAGCAGTATGTGTTCACGTGACTTTATATAACAGCAGTATGTGTTCACGGGGGTGACTTTATATAACAGCAGTATGTGTTCACGGTGACTTTATATAACAGCAGTATGTGTTCATGGAGGTGACTTTATATAACAGCAGTATGTGTTCACGGTGACTTTATATAACAGCAGTATGTGTTCACGGAGGTGACTTTATATAACAGCAGTATGTGTTCACGGTGACTTTATATAACAGCAGTATGTGTTCATGGAGGTGACTTTATAAAACAGCAGTATGTGTATGGAGGTGACTTTATATAACAGCAGTATGTGTTCACGGTGACTTTATATAGCAGCAGTATGTGTTCACGGGGGTGACTTTATATAACAGTAGTATGTGTTCACGGTGACTTTATATAACAGCAGTATGTGTTCACGGAGGTGACTTTATATAACAGCAGTATGTGTTCACGGTGACTTTATATAACAGCAGTATGTGTTCACGGTGACTTTATATAGCAGCAGTATGTGTTCATGGAGGTGACTTTATATAACAGCAGTATGTGTTCACGGTGACTTTATATAGCAGCAGTATGTGTTCACGGAGGTGACTTTATATAACAGCAGTATGTGTTCACGATGACTTTATATAGCAGCAGTATGTGTTCACGGAGGAGACTTTATATAACAGCAGTATGTGTTCACGGAGGTGCGCAAGATAATTTAATTTAATTATTAAACAGTATTTCCGCATCGATGAACACACTCGAAGCAGTTGCATAAAGTCACGGGAGCATTACAACGCATATGTTAAGCACTATGTCCCCCATTGTCAACCCTGGATTAGTCCTGGTTTAGTCCTGATTTAGTCCTGGTTTAGTCCTGGTTTAGTCCTGGTTTAGTCCTGGTTTAGTCCTGGTTTAGTCCTGGTGTAGCTCCTGTTTTGGCTGTTTACAGTATGTTCAGTCTACTCGCTCAGACCACTAATGTCCCTGTGATCACTTTGCGGCTCTCTGATTGGTTGCTGCACGAGCGTCCCAAGGAAACGTTCAGCAATATTTGCGTCTCTGTCGCGCAGTCCGTGCATCCTGAGATGCACATACATGTCACCATAGACACTGTATTGAAAGTGGACGTAGCATGCTCCGCTGTGAAAGCCCCATAAGAGTTATCACATGAAACATGTGAGAAGTAGATACAGCACAAGCAAAGTGTGAAAAGCAATCACACTTATTCAGGCTGCAGGAATAAATTAACAAATTATACTTTTAAATTATTTTAAAGTTTTAAAAATATATTCAATAATGTTTATTTTATTATTATTAGATAAAACAAGAGGGGGGTTAATCTGGCCTAAGGGGGGTTAAAATAGCCTAGGCCAGAATAAACCCCGGGGTGTAAACTGGCCAGGGGGTTTAAAACGGCCTGTTACACCGGGAGGACCAGACGATGCCCAAATACAGGCGGGTTTCCCATAGATCTTTGAGAGTTTCCCATAGATCTTTGAGAGTTTCCCATAGATCTTTGAGAGTTTCCCATAGATCTTTGAGAGTTTCCCATAGACCTTTGAGAGTTTCCCATAGATCTTTGAGAGTTTCCCATAGATCTTTGAGAGTTTCCCATAGATCTTTGAGAGTTTCCCATAGATCTTTGAGAGTTTCCCAGAGATCTTTGAGAGTTTCCCATAGATCTTTGAGAGTTTCCCATAGATCTTTGAGAGTTTCCCATAGATCTTTGAGAGTTTCCCATAGATCTTTGAGAGTTTCCCATAGATCTTTGAGAGTTTCCCATAGATCTTTGAGTTTCCCATAGATCTTTGAGAGTTTCCCATAGATCTTTGAGAGTTTCCCATAGATCTTTGAGAGTTTCCCATAGATCTTTGAGAGTTTCCCATAGATCTTTGAGAGTTTCCCATAGATCTTTGAGAGTTTCCCAGAGATCTTTGAGAGTTTCCCATAGATCTTTGAGAGTTTCCCAGAGATCTTTGAGAGTTTCCCATAGATCTTTGAGAGTTTCCCATAGATCTTTGAGAGTTTCCCATAGATCTTTGAGAGTTTCCCATAGATCTTTGAGAGTTTCCCATAGATCTTTGAGAGTTTCCCATAGGTCTTTGAGAGTTTCCCAGAGATCTTTGAGAGTTTCCCATAGATCTTTGAGAGTTTCCCATAGATCTTTGAGAGTTTCCCATAGATCTTTGAGAGTTTCCCATAGATCTTTGAGAGTTTCCCAGAGATCTTTGAGAGTTTCCCATAGATCTTTGAGAGTTCCAGGCGACTTCCGCTAATCTTTCAGCCCCCATGCTGTCACAAAGCGCCACTGAGCACAACTATTCATTTGAATAGGGCGCCATCTTGGATCGCCAGGGCTTGGAGTGGGGGGATTCAGTTAGCTGTTAGCTGTTAGTCTGTTAGCTGTTTGTCTTTTAGCTGTTAGCTGTTAGCAGTTAGTCTGTTAGCTGTTAGTCTGTTAGCTGTTAGCTGTTAGCAGTTAGTCTGTTAGCTGTTAGTCTGTTAGCAGTTAGTCTGTTAGCTGTTAGCTGTTAGTATGTTAGCATGTTAGCAGTTAGTCTGTTAGCTGTTAGTCTGTTAGCTGTTAGCAGTTAGTCTGTTAGCTGTCAGTCTGTTAGTCTGTTAAGCCTGGTTCACACGAGACGATTTTAAAATTGTCGGCCGATTTTTCTCCGTGTTAGACCCCACACAGGGAGATTAAAAATCCTGCGTCTAACCACTTTGGTCGTGCAGTGTGTGGTGCGTAGCCACACGGCAAGATCAGGCAAGCCACAAACATCACACACGAACCAACATCCCCCCCCGAGCATTCCCAGGTCAGACGGAGATCTCACAAAATCTCTCGAGATCAAGCGTGACTTCAGAGTAAACAGTCATGGCAACGCGCTCGCTTGTCCTCGGGGGACACCACACACGACAAGAAATCGGGCCAAAACAATCCAACATGTTGGATATCCCCGATTTGAGATCGGGAGCAGTCCCGATGTCCTTCCGCTCTGTTAAAGCCTGGTTCACACGGCAGGATATTTAGGCCGATTTAGACCCGATTTACCCCTTACGACAATCTTAAGAAACGCTCCGATTTCCGTAACAAAATCTTACAGATTATCCTGCCGTGTGTGGTGTGTTAAGACTGCACTCGTCGCTCGGAAGGACATCGGGACTGCTCCCGATCTCAAATCGGGGATATCCAACATGTTGGATTGTTTTGGCCCGATTTCTTGTCGTGTGTGGTGTCCCCCGAGGACAAGCGAGCGCGTTGCCATGACTACGGCGTGTAGCCAATAAGAAGACGAGGTGACAAGCCGGTGAGGAAACACCGGAAAAAAACCAAAACACAGCAGCATGGCTTTGACCATTGCCTTTTCTTTGGATTACGTGTCTTCTCTGTTAACAACAAACTGCACACTATCGCCACTGCAATCTCTTCGTCCGCCATGACTGTTTACTCTGAAGTCACGCTTGATCTCGAGAGATTTTGTGAGATTTCCGTCTGACCTGGGAATGCTCGGGGGGGGGATGTTGGTTCGTGTGTGATGTTTGTGGCTTGCCTGATCTTGCCGTGTGGCTACGCACCACACACTGCACGACCAAAGTGGTTAGACGCAGGATTTTTAATCTCCCCGTGTGGGGTCTAACACGGAGAAAAATCGGCCGACAATTTTAAAATCGTCTCGTGTGAACCAGGCTTTAAGTCTGGTTCCAGAAGCACATGGGTTCTTTATCTGCAGTTCTTACAGAGCAGCTTTCAGGTTCTTCAGGATATTTATTTAAAGACTATTATGTCCCACATGTGTCACATGGAAAGATGATATTATAGTCACAATAAAAGGGTTAACAATCAGTTTTTTTTTTATTTTGTCTGACGTTTGTTCATTTTGTTCAATCTATGTCTAAATTCATTCTAAAAGCTGCTTTTTGAGGCTGCAGGGAATCATCACATCCAAAATGTATATGTTATTAACCTGCAGATATTATAAAGAGAAAACACACACGGACACACACACACGCTACAATAAACTAGTTCTAAATATAGGCCCATACATTCCTGTGCTTCCTCGTCTTAAAGGGCCAGTACCAGTTAATTCTTCTTAAAGGGGACATGGTATACTTTGATCATGTTGTTGTTATTTAGAGATTCTTGTTTATTACACAAAGTGTGATGGCCTGATGATTGTGTGTTTCAGATGGATCTCAAACTGCTGCTGATCTCCACATTGTTAGCAGTGTTCTGTTTCAGCAGCGCTCAAAAGGGTAAAATGACATCATTATTCCAGCTGAATTTGTTTCTATTGATTCTCTGGTCTCTGCTCCAGGACAAATGTATGTGTTTTTAAAATCATGTTACACTGACTCTGACCCTGACCCTGACACTGACCCTGACTCTGACCCTGACTCTGACGCTGACCCTGACCCTGACCCTGACCCTGACACTGACACTGACAGTGACTCTGACTCTGACCCTGACTCTGACCCTGACACTGACCCTGACCCTGACCCTGACACTGACCCTGACTCTGACCCTGACTCTGACCCTGACTCTGACACTGGCTCTGACGCTGGCCCTGACTCTGACTCTGACCTTGACTCTGACCTTGACTCTGACCCTGACTCTGACCCTGACCCTGACTCTGACTCTGACCCTGACTCTGACCTTGACTCTGACCCTGACTCTGACGCTGACCCTGACCCTGACCCTGACGCTGACCCTGACTCTGACCCTGACTCTGACCCTGACTCTGACACTGACCCTGACACTGACCCTGACTCTGACTCTGACCCTGACTCTGACCCTGACACAGACACAGACGATCCATCTGCTCAGACTGTTTTGATGCTGCAGCTGTAGCTCCTCCCCCTCCTCCTCCCCCCCCTCCTCCCCCTCCTCCTCCCCCTCCTCCTCCCCCTCCTCCTCCCCCTCCCCCTCCTCCTCCCCCTCCTCCTCCTCCTCTCCTCTCTGTTCTCACTGATGGAAAAAGCAGAACATTCCTCTTGTCTCCTGTTACAATCCTGTGTTTCACTGATGTATAAACTAGTGCTGTCCAAAATATCGCGTTATTAACGCGTTAACGCAAATCAATATTAACGGCGTCATTTTTTTTATCGCCATTAATTTTTTTTATAATTATTAAAAAAAAAAAATAAAAAAAAAATAATTTTTTTTTTTTTTTTTTTTTTTACTTTTTATTGCAGACAAACACATATACAGAAAAAAAATAGACACAAAGAAAAGGACTAGTTAAGATACATTGTAGACAGAGATTACAAACAATATGTAGTTGGAGATACAGGGGGCCAAAGAAGAAACCCAGAAGGGCACATAGGAGGGGGGGAGGGGACATGAAGTGGGAGATGGGGGGGAGGGGTTAATAAAAAAGGCAATACAAGCAAACAGTATACAGTCATAGATATACCGAAAGTAAACAGAGAAACACTATAGAGTATTTACATGAACAAATTTACAAAAAAATTGTTTATCATCATCATAATGACACCATGATGTTTCTATACAGTCTATGGTCTATACCCACACATACACACACACACCCACACACACACACACACCCACACCCATAAACACACACACTCCACACACACACACACACACACATTGAAGGGGCTTTTTGTTACCAATTATTTATTTTGTCATCCATTTATTGATGATTTTGCATCAAATGTTAGTGTGTAATATAACACTACACATTGTTTTCAATAAAAAAAGAAATTGCACACAGCACGCAAATGGGTGACTAATTTGCGATTAATCGCGAGTTAACTATGAAATTCATGCGATTAATCGCGATTAAATATTTTAATCGTTGGACAGCACTAGTATAAACATAAGTCTGTGAGCTTCACTCTCACTGATTCTTCTCTCTCCTCCTCCTCCTCCTCTCACCTCCTCTCACCTCCTCTCACCTCCTCTCACCTCCTCTCACCTCCCCCCCCCCCCCCTCTCCTCTCTCCCCGTCCGCTCTCTCCACCTGCCCTCTCCTCTCCTCCCCCCCCCTCGCTGCTCCTCTCACCTCCTCCTCCCCCCTCGCTGCTCCTCTCACCTCCTCTCCCCCCCTCTCTCGTCCTCTCTCCTCCTCCCCCCTCGCTGCTCCTCTCTCCTCCTCCCCCCTCGCTGCTCCTCTCTCCTCCTCTCCCCCCCTCTCTCGTCCTCTCTCCTCCTCCCCCCTCGCTGCTCCTCTCTCCTCCCCCCCCCCTCGCTGCTCCTCTCTCCTCCTCTCCCCCCTCTCTCTTCTCTCCTCCTCCCCCCTCGCTGCTCCTCTCTCCTCCTCTCCCCCCCTCTCTCGTCCTCTCTCCTCCTCCCCCCTCGCTGCTCCTCTCTCCTCCTCCCCCCTCGCTGCTCCTCTCTCCTCCTCTCCCCCCCTCTCTCTTCTCTCTCCTCCTCACTCCTCTGTCTGTTCCTCCAGAGGGTAACGAGTGTGTCAGTGCCAATAAGTTTTACTGGTAATTGGTAACAGAAAATCTTTGGGGTTTTTTCTCAGGCGCTAAACGTTCCTTCTTTTTAGGATTCGTCGCATGCTAATAGGAATTGTGGAACGAAGATCCTGACACAACCTGCACACGGCATGGAGTTCCAGGATCATCGATAATGGTCGGACCCGCGGACTACCCAATCTGCATTGTGGGGAAGGTAACTTGTCAACTGGCTACTTCGAATGGTTCCATCTCCACGTGTGGTAAGAGTCTGTCACCAACAATTATACTGAGTACATGTTTTGTGTGTTAACTGCTGCTGCCAGGGTTTGCTCTAAGCAACAGCAACATTTGATTAGTATTTGTACGATTACAATGAATGAGATTTTCCCAAATTCTCCATTGCATTTATTCTTTTAACCTATTTAGTGTCCATTTTGTATGTCATGTTTTGGGGCAGAGCTCAAGCAAAGCTATTGGTCAAGCATTGGTGGATGGTCGGTAGTTTGACTGTGTCACCCATCAATGACCACCTGTTTCGGGGATGATTATGCACTCTATCCGCCCCTCTTCAGGTAGACAACAAAACACTAAGCTATGTAAACACATTGGAGAGATAGTGGAAAGATGGATTTGTGTTGAGTAGGAAATGAGAAGTGTTCTCTGTGTGTAGAGTACAGACGTTTTCAGAGTCGCCCCTCTCGCGACAGCGACAGTGTCAAACCTCCATAGAACGGCAGTCTGAGCCCTCCTGGTTCAAAGATATCAAGTTTGATGAACAGTGACACAGATCAGCTGCAGGGACTACACCATGCCCAAGTAAGGACCTAACATATTACCAGTGTAGTAGGTCTAACTATTATAGGACTATGGTATAACTCTGCGCTTGTTTGACACATGTTCCAGACTCAGCCAGCCAGTAAGAGGAACCGTCGGTCAGCGTTTCACGCGTGGTGGACAGCGACTCTGGCTGCCTCCATAACACCTCAATATGGAACAAAACATGTCAACTTTCACATCAAAAACAGGCCCAAGTATCCCACACGATCCCGGTTACCAATGAGCAGAAAGGTTTTTGGGTTACACAACCAGAATGAGAAGCAGTGTACTTCTCATGCTAGCAAGGACCAACAACAACTGATGTGATTAAAAAGTATGGATTAATAACAGCAACTCAGGGCGGGAGTATGGTCTCTGGTGTCAGCCACGGGATTGATTGAAAGATCTGGTGAAAAACGTCCTATAATGATTGCATCTGTCTTACATAATGGATGAATAATAATATATTATTATACGATCATGAGGTCCAGGGAGGGGGTTTGTGAGCGTGGAAACGCTGTAGAAAGATTGTTCTGCTCCAGATCCTCAATGTTTAATAACATAACTACATTTGTCGCCCTCATAAAGTCACACAAAGACATTTGGTCGTAATTACATTTTGAAGTAAAATAATTTCTGTTCCCTGGATGTATTTTGAGCTGCAGCGGATGTGTTTGTTTCTGAGGACCGGAGGGCGCAGACTTGTCATCAGTGATTGCTTTCATTCAACGGTTAATTATTATGATTATGGTATACATGTTGCTTCGGTCTGGTCAAGGGGTCATGTGGTTTTTAAGGACTATGTTTTCATATCATTGTTCAGAATTATGTTCAATCGTCGTGTGAGGAAAGGCAAATGAGATGCTGTTCAATCCCCTGGGGGGCTGGCACCACAGTTCTCTGGTCAGCTGCGTGAATGAGCAACGGCGAGAAGAAGGCATGGAGGGCTGCTGTTTTTAAGTAATGGCAGTATGTTAAAAGAATACATGTTATTTAGATGTGTCTATGTTCTTCTTCTTTCTGTTCAGTTCAGCCAATCACAGCCACATGATGGCGCTGTTGCAGCAGCTCCTGTACAGTGACGTCTCGGTCTCTGTTCCTGGCGAGACTATCATCGTCCCTGTAGGTGCGCAGGTCGTCCAAGGACGGTCCGCCTGCTGTCAGCAACTGTGACGATGACTATGGACATCCGGCAGTTTGTTCCACATTAGAAGGTTAGCCAGTTCACATTCACTTCAATTATCTAATTCAAATTATCATACATGTGACTGCAAACCACATATGTGTGACAAATGCGTAATTTGATTTAGCCCACCTTTTTTAGATGACAAATTCTTTTTGTTTTTTTGTTTAAAAAATTTTGTGTATTGTGCGTCAGATTCCGGGACGCGGAGAAAGTTTGACTCGACAATGGTGAATGGTTTGTGTGCACCAAGAACATCGCTTCATAAAAAGGTGAACACAAAGATCCTTCTGTTTGAAACTGAGCGGGTATTACTCAGATGTTTTATTGTAAATCTGCTCCAATTAGTGTGCAAATTATATACCGCCTGTGAAAGCGGGTATATAATAAAGCTTACTTACTTACTTTACTTAACTAGTATGAATCCCTTACCATCAAGAATCCTTAAACTCCTGCTGTTGAAGTGCTCCATTGAGTATTTGTACAGAGAGCGAGACCAAGTTCCACCTGCATCGGATCCATCCCTGCTGCAGGTAATACGCAGAATGAACCTAGGTTATTAGAACAGGGACTAATCAGCGCACTCATGATCCTCAGCGTGAAAGAGTCTGAAGAACTATGTCACAGCGCCATTGTGGATGAGCGTCCAATCTGGTGCTGGTGGAAAAGACGGTGTCGCGTTTATGCACAGACATGCGTGGAGCACGGATCACGCTGGTCATAAAAGTCACAAACCGCGTCAGTGCGCGGTCACACAACTTATTGTTGTTGTTAGTATTTGAATCTATTGTAATGATAAGAGATGATGCAGAGATGTTGCCATTTCATTAAAACATCATCTACGAGAGAAAAGAACGTCTTCTATCAGATGTAAAAACAGGAAAGTTCTTAGCTGAGATAAGGAAGGTAAACCAGAAATTATACAGGAAAACTTGTCCTCTACAGGACAAAATTGGACTATGACCAGAGATTTAGACCAGCTGAAAGAGCTGTTACTTTCTGTTATATCTGCAATCAGTGACAAGATCTTGTCTCCAAACAAGGCATTATGAAAAAATCACTGAGCTATCAAAATTTCTAGTGCTAAGTCTATTTGGTTGTTATTTTTGTGTCTATTCTATTCTAAATCAGACTCTATAAGGTTGACTAGAACAGAAATAACAAAATGACCTCACGCCTATCATGAGAACAAAGACGGCAAGAGAAGGTATTTTTTTCTTCACTGCAGTACCTACACTGTATATTCCCATTCTTTTAATGTTTATTTATGTTTTTAGTATAATATATAAAAAAATAAAACATAATTCTCACCTTTGGCACCCCTCCGCGGGCGGTTATTCCCTCTCTAGCTCGGGTCCAGGGGGAGCTGAGGGTTCAGTATCTTTGCTTGTTCTAGCACCTGCACATTTCTTGGGACCAGATCCAGATGTCGAAGGTAGTTTCCAGGGATCCGCTGTAACCTTTCTAGCTTCGGGGTCACTGCCCGTAGTGCACCGATCACACGAGGCAAACTGTCACCTTGCAGACCCTCCAGGCCCTCTCCAGCTCCTCTCTGAGACCTTGGTATTTCTCAAGCTTTTTCATGTTCTTGTTTCCTGATGGTTAACATTGCTTGGAATTGCCACAGTCCACCACACGGCTGTTCCTTGCCCCTTTGTACACCACCACGGCTGTGGACTATGCCTTGTCACCACTCGGCTGTCCTTGCCCTTTGTTACCACCACGGCTGTCCTCTGACTTACAAGGTGGCATGAAGAATAAGATGAACAAAGTAAATGCAATGGAAATTATAATGATACATTTATAAACATGTCATCACAGGCTATGTTGCACATGATTTAAAGTGAACATTATAAAAATATTTGTATTGTTTTTTCCATATTTAATAGTAAATTTCTCATTACCGCAACGCGTCCATTACTGAATTTGAGAACTTTGAAATACAATTTAAAAAAAAAAAAAATGAAAATGAAATGTATAAATTATCAGTGCATGTTATACTATAAACAGTTACAATAAATAAACATGTGATATTGGGTATTCTTGTATAAAATAAGTTAAAGTTTTAAGGAAAATAACTTTGTCCACAACCATTTTTCTCATCCTCCGCAACAATTTTCAATAATCGTTTAAGTCCACAAGGAACTTACAAAATCAAAGAATTCTGAAGGGAGGAACATCATTTCCAGTGACACTCAAAATAGCTACCAGATAAGCACCTCATTTTATTTCTCTCCAGATAAAAGTTAAAAGTTTGTTCATTACAGCAGCTACACGACTTTTCATTTCTCATTACCGATACGCAACGTTTTTAACATTGATATTTTTTTTTTATTTAAAAATTCTTGTTTATTATATACTTCATTATGGTCCAAAAATAAACAGCTAGCTAAAGTTTAGCTAAGCCTTGTGGTGCCTTCGCAGACAGCGGAAAATTTCAAGGTCACTCATACTCCGCAACAGCATTATCATACACCGCAACAGTTAAAGGCATGTTGCGGTAGAGAGATTCACTGTTTCGGTAATGAGAAATTGATATGTTATACCAGGAATTAACACAGATATTTTTAACACATTTATGAAAAACACTTAAATAACAAAATAATATAGCTTTTAATTATAAAGTATACCTGTAAACCTTCCAGCAGAAGTCATTAGTTTCAGTTGGCTCAGTTGGAAGAGCATTATTAGCCTTTAAGGCTAGAGGTCATGGGTTCAAGCCCACCACAAGACCTACTCCACCAACTCCCACTGATGTCTGCTGTTGTTTGTATCCTTGGGCAAGACACTTTATCCCACTTTGCCTGAAGGCCCCTCTGAAAGACTAAGGCTATGCCATAGAGCTGTGCTCTGTGTAATGAGTGGCATCTCTGGCCACCTTCCAACCCAGGAATAGATTAAGGGGAAGAAAATGGATGGATTATTTTACAGAATATTATGCCCCCCTGGACTACCACCTTAACGTAGTAAGGGAGTTTGAGTACTCTGATGATCCTGGGAGCTATGTTGTCTGGGGCTTCATGGTAGGGTCTCCCATGGCAAACAGGTCTCAGCTGATGAGTCCAAAACCCACCATGTATAGCATGTTATTGAGAACCGTGACGTCGGCATGGCGCAGCCGGGGCCCCACCCTGGAGCCAGGCCTGGGGTTGGGGCTTGTATGCGAGAGTCTGGTGGGCCTTAGCCCACGGGGCCCGGCCGGGCTCAGCCCAAAGGGATGACATGGGCATGCCCTCCTTTGGACCCACCACCCACAGAGGGATCCGTGGTGGAGAGGTGCTGAGAGGACTGGGCAGCAGTCGAAGGCGGTGACCTCAACGACCCAGTCCACGTACACAGCATATGGCTCTTGGGACGTGGAACGTCACCTCACTGGGGGTGACACACAGCTCGGGCACCGCAATCCAAATCCTCGAGAGGGGTTGGACGCTCCACTTTTCTGGTGTTTCTCGCAGGGAGAGGCGGCGAGCTGGGGTGGCTATTCTCATTGCCCCCCATCTCAGCCGCCACGTGTTGGAGTTCTCCCCGGTGAATGAGAGGGTCGCGTCCCTCCGCCTCCGGGTGGGGGACAAGTCTCTCACTGTTGTGACGGCCTACGGGCCAACAGCAGTGCAGAGTACCCGCCCTTCTTGGAGTCCTTGGGAGGTGTACTGGACGGTGTACCGCCCGGGGACTCCGTTATTCTCCTGGGGGACTTCAACGCCCATGTGGGAAATGCCAGTGACACTTGGGAAGAACGGCCCCCCTGATCTGAACCCGAGCGGTGTTCAGTTGTTGGACTTCTGTGCTAGTTACAGTTTGTCCATCACAAACACCATGTTCCAGCACAAGGGTGTCCACTAGTGCATGTGGCACCAGGACACCCTAGGCCGGAGGTCGATGGTCGACTTTGTTCTCGTATCCTCTGACCTTCGACCGCGTGTCTCGGACACTCTGGTGAAGAGAGGGGCGGAGCTGTCAACCGATCACCACCTGGTCGTGAGTTGGATCCGCTGGCAGAGGAGGAAGCCGGTCAGACCTGGCAGACCCAAGCGTGTAGTGAGGGTCTGCTGGGAACGTCTCGCTGAGCCCCCTGTCAGACGGACTTTTAACTCACACAACTCACTGGGAGAGCTTCTCCCAGGTCCCGGCGGAGGAGGGGGACATGGAGTCTGAGTGGACTATGTTCTCCGCATCTATCACCGATGCTGCAGCTCGCAGCTGTGTTCTCAAGGTCTCTGGTGCTAGTCCCGGCAGCAGACCCCGAACCCGGTGGTGGACACCGGCAGTAAGGGATGCGTCAGGATGAAGAAGGAGTCCTATCAAGCCATGATGGTCCGTGGGACTCCTGAGGCAGCTGTCCAGTACCGGCTGGCCAAGTGTGCTGCGGCCCGGGCTGTTGCAGAGGCAAAAACCCAGGACTGGGAGGAGTTCGGAAAGTAAAGAGGTGCCTCGTCACGTCCTCTGAACCGGAGGGGGGTTTTCTTATGAGTTTTTCCTTGCCAATGCAGGAGGGTCTGTTGGGTAGTTAGTGTCCAACTAGAAGGACTGTGGTGATGATCCAGGACGTGACGACTTTAACATTCTAGAACAAGTATGGACATTTTTCAACATGTGTTCTATTTTTATTAAGTCCTCTGAGATTACTTCTGTTGTGATTTAGGGCTATACAAGAATAAAGTGTATTGAATTGGGGGCAGAGGCTGAGGATGTCGGGGCGGATTCTTCCATCTCCCTGGCTGAGGTCACCAAGGTGGTTGGCAGCCTCCTTAGTGGCAAGGCTCCGGGAGTGGATGAGATCCGTCCTGACAATCTAAAGTCTCTGGATGTTGTAGGAGTGTCTTGGCTGACACGTCTCTGCAATATCGCGTGGCGATCGGGGTGGTGGTCCCTCTCTACAAGAAGGGGGACCGGAGGGTGTGTTCCAATTATCGTGGGATCACACTCCTCAGCCTCCCTGGTAAGGTATACTCCAAGGTACTGGAGAGGAGGCTACGGCCGATGGTCGAAT